CAGCCTGGTCTACATAGTGAGTTCCAGGACAGCTGGGGCTGCAGGGAGACCCTGTCTCAAAAAGACCAAAAAAAAATTATAATAATAATAAAATTTTTTAAAAAAGAAATCACAGTGTTTAAAAACAAACAAACAAACAAACAAACAAACTCTGCTAGTCCTGGACTGGAGAGATGGCTCAGCTGTTGAGAGCGCTGGCTGCTCTTGCAGAGGACCTCATTTCCATTCCCAGCATCTGCACAGCAGCTAACACCCATCAATAATGCCAATTCCAGGGGATCCGATGCCCTCTTCCAGACGCTATGGGCATTACATGAATGTGGTGCACATATATAACATATACATGCAAGTTAAAAAAGGCTGGGAATGGTGGCACATGCCTTTAATCCCAGCACTTGGGAGGTAGAGGCAGACAGATCTTTGAATTTGAGGCCAGACTGTTCTACATAGCAAGTTCCAGGCCAGTTGGGGCTATAAGGGAGACCCTTGTCTCAGGAAGACAAAACAAAATGAAATAAAAGAACCCTCTACTAGTCCTCAGGAATAAGTCTTGCAATTTCAAGTACTGGTACCCAGAGGTGTTTGACAATGTGACTAATATCCTCTTTCTGGAATTGATGGGGGTCATGGCTCCATGTCCCTCAAATCTCTGGTCAATCTGTCTTAGTCTACCTTTAAACATGAGAGTTTCTTGAGCTCTGTCTCAGACCTTTTGTTTATTTTGTGTTAAAGAGCATCTGAAAAACATGGAAAAACTGTACGGTCAGAAGAGGGGTTCCTCCCATGTAAATCCTTCCAGTTAAAAGACACAGTCACATGGGGTCTTCATTTCCATGACCACTGGCCAAAATTATTAGTAGCCACTGCCTTTCAAGGAAACAGAATCCTGGTTCCCTATGCGGCCTGCTTGGACACAACTCAAGATGAAATATTTACATCATGTCTAACATCTAACCAACAAAAGATGGTAGAGAAATAATTCAAAAGACAATTGAAGAAAGAGACCATAAACAGCTGTTTCACAGAAATAAACACCCAAGGGACTAAATGTATGAAAAGATGTTCAACATCATCAATAATTACATAATTACTAAATTAGTTAGACAAATCATCACTAATATTTAGATAAGCATTAAATTAAGAACTTGATGTGAGCCAGGCATGGTGGCACACACCTTTAGTCCCAGCACTTGGGAGGCAGAGGTAGGCAGATCTCTGTGAGTTCAAGGTCAGCTGGGGCTACAGGGAGACCCCCTGTCTCAAAAAAAACAAAAATAAAAAATTTAATGTGGCTTTTTATTTTTTTTTGAGACAGGGCCTCCTTATAGCCCTAGCTGTTCTGGAACTTACTATGTAGACCAGGCTGGCCTTGAGCTCACAAAGATCCACCTCTGTCCATAACTCCGTTCCAGGGGGATCCAACTCCCTCTTATATTCCCTGAAGGCATTGCACAAAACAAGTGCACTTACATACATACAGGCAATACATACATACACATAAAATAAAAATAAGTAGCTGGGCATGGTGGTGCAAGCCTTTAATCCCAGCACTCGGGAGGCAGAGCGATGTAGTTTTTTTTTAAGACAAGGTCTCTACGTGCCCCTGGCTGACCTGGAACTCACTAAGTAGACCAAGTTGACCTTGAACTCACAGGGATCCATCTGCCTCTGCCTCCCAAGGGATGGGTGCCACCACACCCAGCCTTTGATGTTATTTTATTTATTTATTTATTTATTTATTTATTTATTTATTTATTTAT